GCATCATCATCCCTATCGCTGTCGTAAATTGAATTAGATTGATGTAAATTAAAAAGATGTAATTTAAAATAAATAAAATAATTTAACGTAATTATCACTAGAATAAAAATCTCGCAACCGTTAAATGGGGTTAATGTGGTTAGATAAAGATTACGAATTCTCGACTTTTCGCTTAAATACAATAGTTTTAAATTAAGGAGTTTAGTATCATTTAACTTGTTTTACGTTAACATATACTACAATGGCTTTGATCAACGCACCTTCATTGAAAGATTTGGCTCAAACGAAAATCAATTTAAACATATCGAAACGTCTACATGTACTATCACTCAAAGAATACTTGCCGTGGAAAGTAGTGTTAGAGTTATGGAACACGTGGTTCCAGGATAATTGGTTCGAGCTTGGGGCGCATAAAAAATGTTCATGTCTCGTCTAAGTCAATTGGGTCAGTGTAATTTCCCACCGAAAAAATCAATTTCTGAGCTTCAACCAGACACTCCATACCCAATTAAGTGTGCGAAACGGCTTACAAAGTGTTCTTGGCCGTCCGTGGTACTTGAACTGGAGGCTGGATTCGTAATTTATTTACCAAGACGCATCGCTGAAGTTATTACCGACGAAGAAATTATCGAACTTAGCAAAATGTCCATAATTTATAACGGTGCGAAAGACATTGGTAAAACACACCCTATATATTTATTGGATTTCATCAGGAAGCCTGAAACGTAAAAACCGACCGATGACACTGATGTTCATCTGTATGAATATATAAATGTAATTGTATTATAAAAGTTATGGATACTTAAAAATTAAATAATAAATGTATTTCTTAATCACATCTTTTTGTTGTTTGTATTAATAATTTCACAATATATGTATCGTTAACATTTATTTATCGCATTAATTCTGTGTGTGACTTCCTCCTGCTCAATCAGTAATAAATAACATTTTTTTTAAGGTAAGTATTATTATTTCGGCGTCGACGGGGTCTATAGGGCACTAAGATGGGGTAGAAGGGGTTGAAGGGGGTCAATAGGGCACTAAGATGGGGTTGGGTTGGGTTGAAGGGGGTCAATAGGGCGCTAAGATGGGGTTGGGTTGGGTTGAAGCGTCGACCGATCCTCAAGGATGCTACAGGTGGCGCCACCGTCGACCGATCCTTAAGGATGCTACAGGTGGCGCCACCGTCGACCGATCCTTAAGGATTCTACAGGTGNTTAATAATTTCACAATATATGTATCGTTAACATTTATTTATCGTATTAATTCTGTGTGTGATTTCCTCCTGCTACCCTCAATCAGTAATAAACAACATATTTTTTAAGGTAAGTATTATTATTTCGGCATCGACGGGGTCAATAGGGCACTAAGATGGGTTTGAAGGGGTTGAAGGGGGTCAATAGCGGGTTGAAGGGGTTGAAGGGGGTCAATAGGGCACTAAGATGGGGTTGGGTTGGGTTGAAGGGAGTCAATAGGGCGCTAAGATGGGGTTGGGTTGGGTTGAAGGGACGTCGACCGATCCTTAAGGATGCTACAGGTGGCGCCACCGTCGGCCGATCCTTAAGGATGCTACAGGTGGCGCCACCGTCGACCGATCCTTAAGGATCGTGTGACGTCACTTCCGGCGCGCATGCGTAGGATCATCGATCCTGCAGGATCGAAATTCAAATTTCCCGCCCGATCCTTCGATCCTTAAGGATCACTTCCGGTCCAGAACTCTCATTATTTATCTACTATTGGGGACTCTGTGGAGATTATCGTCATCTAAATTTAATAACTGTTCTTGATCGTTACCCTCTTCCTCACATACAAGACTTCAACTTGCATTTAAATAACTGTACAATATTCTCGAAAGTTGATTTCGTAAGAGCTTATCATCAAATTCCTGTAGCAGAAGAAGACGTTCACAAAACACCTATAACCACCCCTTTTGGTCTATTCGAATTTACAAGAATGCGCTTTGGTCTTCGGAATGCTACCCAAACGTTGCAACGTTTCATCAGTGAAGTCATGTAGTCATGTTTCAATTTCCTTTATGTTTATTTGGACAATATTCTCATTGCAAGCAAGGATGTAACCGAACATATATCACATTTAACTCAACTATTCTAACAATTAAATGATTAAAACATCAACCTTATAAATGCATTTTTAGTGTTAAATCTTCAGATTTTCTTGGACATCACANATTTTCTATTGAAACGAAATTTAAACAACTTTTAAAATGCTACTCAAAATTAATTTCTCCCCCAGATTTTTCTTCCCCAGTGATGCATTCTACAAATCACCATATCATTAAAAATTTAATATTGCTAAAAAAAAATTTGAAACTATCGTATCTTTAGGTATTTTTCATCATTTTCGTCCACAGCTTCTCCATAACATATGGTCCCTAAAAAAGAGTCCAATGGTTGGGGACCCTGTGGAGATTATCATCATCTAAATTTTAACTGTTCTTGATCGTTACCCTCTTCCTCACATACAAGACTTCAACTTGCATTTAAATAACTGTACAGCACTGTTTCTTTAAAAGAGCTACAAAGATTCTTAGGTATGATAAACTTTTATCATATATTCATTCGTTCATTCATTAGCACCACTGTATAATTTAACACCTGGTCTAAATTCTAGTAAAGACAAATCAATCTCTTCATGTTCAAACAAACATGAACTATCATTCACTCAAGAACTTCTTACTTTTACGATAACACTTGCGCATCCATCTATTCATGCGTCGCTTTCGTTAACTACTGATGCTTCCAATATAGGTATGGGAGCAGTTCTTGCTCAAATATTCAAATCTGAAACTTAACCATTAATTCCTCATTACATTCGATAGAGAATTACTTGCCATTTATTCTGCAATAAAATGTTTTAAGCATTTTCTTCATGGAAATCAATTCACTATTTATACAGACCATAAAGCGCTAATAAATTCGTTCTTTTCTAAATCAGAAAAAACTCCGCAGACTCGTTATTTAAATTACATTACCCAATTCACCTCGGATATAAAATTTATTAAAGTTAAATCGAACATTGTGGCAGACACATTGTCACGAATCAATGTCGATTGCCTTGAAGATCAATACCCAAACTTACAGATGATTAAAAATGCTCAGGACCAAGATTAACAATTACCTTATTTAATCAACAAACAATCAGCTTCCAAATGCAATTATAACTAACTTATACTTTTATCTGAAACAAAAATTTCAGACCAAAATTTAGTACTTTAGTGCGACATTACTTTGACATTCCCTAAAATCTATATACCTTAAAAATATAGAAGAGTAATTTTTAATAAATTTCATTCCTTAACTTATTCAGGTTTTCGTTCTACATTACACAGTGTTAAATCTCGCTTCATTTGGCCTCATATGTCAAAGGACATACAATTTTGGACGGGAACATGTCTCCAGTAGCAGAAAACAAAGATCCATCAACATACCAAATCCCTTGTTGAGAAAATATCCATTCCTAAAGGACGATTTGAGCATATCCATATAGATTTAGTAGGACCTTTAGTATCTTCTTTAGGATGTTCTTACGTTCTCACAGTAATCGACCGCTTCACACTTTGGCCTGAAGCTTATCCTATAAATGATATTTCATCTTTGTAATAATACTACTTTTGTATTGTGAACTATTAATTTATTGATTAACAACGTTACAACAAAATGGCTGTTCGCTACTTCGTAGACGCTAGAAGAATGGTGACCGCGCCTTTTCGCGAGTCATCGTATTGGCGTGGTATTGCATAGGCAACGTATATAACACGCCCTTTTCTTTTTTTTTTTTTTAATTACAATAATAATTTTTAAACTTAGATGGCGTTCGAACAATTCGCCCGCTACGAGTTCTTTAAATATCGGCTTCGGTTGATAGAAGATAGAGGATGCGGTGTTGCTTATAGCAGTATTATTATTTTCCACTACCTCCTCCTCCCTATTTACATTTTGTACAATATTATTATCGTTATTTGAATGATCTATATCTATATTGTTATCTAATACAGTGTCTAACATTTTCGTTTTTTTTATACATTCTTTTAGTTTCTTAAGATATTTTCTATTTCTAATATAAGTTTTATGGTTTTTATTCAATCTAACTAAATAAGATCGAGGTCTGTTTTATCAATTTCAATTACCATTCCGCTACACCAAGTTTTATTATGTGGATCCTGAACCATAACATGGTCATTAATATTAACATGTTCTAATTGTTTTGCATGTTTATTGTAATAGAATTTTTGTGTACATTGATTGGTTTTTAATTTATTTAAATGAGTTGTTATGTCATAACGTGGTGTTAACAATTCTTTCTTTATTGGTAATAAACCCTGAATTTTTCGTCCGTAGAGTAGTTCTGCAGGAGAATATCCATTGTTATAGAGTGGTGTACTTCTATATTCTAGAAGTGTTAAGTATATATCTTTGTTATCATTTATAGCTTTCTTTAAAACTTTTTAATGATTTGCACATGACGTTCTATGAACCCATTGCTTTGTGCATAATGTGGTGTAAACGTAATTTCCCAATCACTCAAGAAATTTTGCATTAAGACATTATTAAATTGAGGTCCATTGTCGCTATACAGAATTGTTGGTTTTCCGTGTCTCGAAAAGATTGTTTTTAAACATTTGATTACAGTTTGACTCGTTAAATCAGACATGGTAACTATTTCTGGAAATTTTGAAAATGAATCAACTACTGAGAGGTAATTTTTACCATTGTAGTGAAATATATCAGTTGCAACTATTTCCCATGGAAATTCTGGTATCTCTTTATTTATAATATCTTCTTTTTGATAACTATTTTGAAATTTTAAACACGTACTACAGGCTTGAATCATATTTTTAATATCTAAAGTCATGTTTGGCCAAAAAACTAATTCGGCTGCTCTACCTAACGTTTTTGTGATTCCCAAGTGACTGTAATGTAATTTTGTTAATATGTTCCTACGCAAAGATTTTGGTATTATAATTCGATTACTCAAAAACAAAAGTTTATCAACTTCCACAATCACGTCTCTATATTGCCAATATGGTTTGAGTGTATTATCCAAAGTGTTTTTAACTTGTGGCCAACCATCTTTAACCACTTTTAATAGGTCTCGTAACTCTTTATCTTTGCTTGTTTCAAACTTAATAATTTCCAAACGTTTTGGTGTTACATTAACATAATTGATCATATTTATTTGTTTGTCTATTTCCGTATCATTTATTTCAAAATTTGGATCGTCATAGCTATTACGGGATAAGTGATCCGCAAAAAATAATTTTTTTCCTGACTTGTATTTTACTACGAAATCATACGTTTGTAAATTCAGTAATAAACGTTGTAATCTAAAAGGAACTTTGTCAACTGGTTTTTTGAATATTGACTCAAGAGGTTTATGATCTGATTCTACGGTAAATTTAGTTCCAAAAAGATATTGGTGAAATCTTTTACATCCAAAAAGTATTGCTAATGTTCCCTTTTCTATTTGCGAATAGTTTTGTTGTGAAGGTGTTAATGATTTTGAAGCATAAACTATAGGAGCATCATCCTGTAAAATAACTGCCCCCATCCCATCCTTTCCGCTATCGACACTTAGTACTATAGGTTTGTTTCTATCATAGAAATGTAATACTGGACTGTTCATTAACAGTTCTTTTAAGTTTAAGAACTCTTTTTGGTGAATATTTGACCACTCAAAAATTATGTTCTGTTTTAACAACTGTCTCATATTGTGAGTCCTTTTTGCTAAATTTTGAATAAATCTTGAAACATAAGTAACCATACCCATAAATTTACGTAAACTATCTTTGTTTTCTGGGGATTGGATTTTTTTAATTGCCTCAATTTTGTCTGTATCTGGACTAATTCCATTCTCATTAAAAATGTGACCCACATACCTAATTTCATTTACTAGAATTTTACATTTTGTTTCGTTAAACTTTACCCCTTTTGGACGAGCTGTTTCTAAAACCTCCTTTAAGATCTTGTTATGTTTGCTTTTTGTTGTCGCAAATATTAAAAGATCATCTATGTAAATCTTAACCCCTTTTATGTGACCAAATATGTCAGTAAATACTCGATGAAAAATTTCTGGTGCTACACTAATACCAAAGGGCAATCTTAAAAATCTATATCTACCAACAGGTGGTCATTAATGAAGCTTTATTAGACAATTTAATTTGATAGAAACCCTGATTCGCGTCTAATACACTAAAGTATTTCGTACCTTTCATTTCGCTTGTTATTTCCTCAAATGACGGTATTGTATAATATTCCCGTACTAAAACATTATTCAAATATTTAGGATCCAAACATACCCTAATTTGACCTAATTGTTTCTTCTGAACGATCACTATGGGATGAACAAATTCAGTTGGTTTTGTTACCTTGGAAATGATATCATCATTTTCCATGCGCATTAACTCTTTTTTTAGTGGTTCTACTAGCTGGAATGCTACTCGTCTACATGGTACAACTACCGGATCATAATTTTCTTTAATTTTAAAATCACAAGGTTTGATGTCTATTGACCCTAAACCTTCAAAAACGTCAGCAAACTGATTTTTCATTGTACATTCAACTGAATCATTTGAACTAATAGCGTTTATTGCTGGTTCTCTATTAACTAATTTAAGTTTTTCACAGGATTCTAATCCTAATACAGGTGCTGCATGTTTATCTGTTTCAATAACCTCAAATCTAAATACATAATCATCACTATTAAACTGAATATTTAATAAACAAGAACCCAAAAATTTAAGTTTTTAAGGTTTTTTAAGTTTTTCTCCACCATACACTGATATTTATCCGCCAGTTTTATCTAATTCTACATCTAAATTTAATTGGTCAAAAATGTATTTTGGAAGAACATTTATGTCAGAACCCGTGTCCATTTTAATGCTAAATGCTAAATTTTATACGCTTGTTACAATCTAAAACTCTAATTATTTCAAACAAAACATTTGTCATTATTATTTATTTATTATATAACCAAACATTATATTATTGATACTATCCAACACATAATTATTACTTGTACTATTGTTATCAACCTGTGTTTGTGTAACGTAAACGAATTAGCGTTCGTGACCTTGCGCACCCCCAATTTGTCTCCCGCGCACCTTTAAATTATTTCCGGATTTATTTTAAGTTTCCCTTCGGTTTTCGTGGAGCTTCTTCCGGCCAGCATGCGTTTGGGCCCTTTGGCGACACCTCCGTGTTGGAATCGGGTGATCCGGGCGTACGACGCCACTCCACGAACCCCTTTTTTGGTTTTCACGCGTGTCCACGCCATTTTTTGTTGTTGATTTTGTGCATCCATTCAGGTCGACAGCGCCTCGTCGTTCGCTATCTGTTGGATCGGAAAATCTGGAAAAGAAAATTGTTAAATTTGAATATCTCTTTATTTCATGTTAATCCGTTCCATTTTTCTTTATTTCCGCATTATCATAGATTTACGGTTCTATTTCATTTTTTCTCTTCTCTTATTACGCAAGAATTTAATTCATTTTCATTTTGTTTTCTTTTCCTTATTACGAAAGAAAGAATTAATTTTATTTTATTTTCACAATTTTCGTTTAAGTTCTCCCATTCACCATTTTTTTGTGCGTCCATTCAGGTTGACAGCGCCTCGTCGTTCGCCATCTGTTGGATCGGAAAAATCGGAAAATTCTATTTTTAGTAGTTTATCTTTATTTACTTCTAATTTTACCGCATTATCATCAAATTTTCATCTCACCTTTTGATTATTCTCATAAAACTTATTTAAATCGACTTTCATTTAATTATTGTCATAATGTCTGAACAAAAGTTAACGAAAGCAATTCTACGACGCAACGCGACTCTCAATCGCCTAACGGAATCAATGACTTACGGTCAAAATATCGGAGATGATCCTGTAAAAAAAACTGTCTTTGTACTGTCATTACTCATCTTTTCAAACCATACACAATCAAATTATGGGGTTGATTGACGATGATGATTTTCCAGATCATGATAAAAAACGCGCTCAAGCAGACACAGCATATTACTCCATAAAGGCACTAGCTTGTGCGCTCCAAGGAGATGATACCGCATCTCTACCAGCATCTCATCTTCTCGCGATTCCTAAATTAACTAAATTATCAATTCCAATCTTCGATGGTAACTATAAAAATTGGCCAACATTCTACGATTTATTTCGCACGATGCTGCACGAAAACCCATCAATTTCGAATGTGGCTAAATATCAATATTTATTAACTTCACTTAAAGGAGACGCATTCAATCTAATAAAAAGCTTACCTGTCACTGACGATAATTATCCCATCGCGTATAGTGCATTGACGGGAAGATATCACAATAAGAGATATCTCGCTACAATTTATTTCAATGAGATCATCCATTTGAAATCCGCGACAGATGAGTCTGTAAAATCATTCCATTATATAATCGACACATTTAAAGACAACGTTGAAGGATTTCGTACCTTAGGCTTTCCAGTTGATTCATGGGATTTTCTTCTTTTTAATATCTTACTACAAAAATTAACTACAACCACAAAAACCCAATTTGAAGAACATCATACTTCAGTTGAAATTCCTACATATGTTAAATTGATTAAATTTTTAGAGGGTCGAGCAAAAGCTTTGGAGTCCGTTCAACTCACTTCTGTAGCTAAGACAGCTCAGTCTAAACCGAAACTAAACTCCAAAGAAAGACCAACAATTAGCTTCAAAATTGAATCTACTTCCTTCTCCAAAAAATGTTTATTATGTCCCGAAATTCATCAGATTTACAGATGTCCCAATTTTAAGTCTAAGTCAACCTCAGAACGTTTAGATGTTGCCCGAGCAAATAATTTATGTCGCAATTGTCTAAGCTCCAGTCATTCAACATCAAAATGTCAATCCTCACATCGCTGTTTCACATGTCGACAGCATCATCACACATTACTTCATTTTAATTCACCTGTAAACAACTCAGTTCATGTAGGAACTACTTCGTGCAGGAAAGAACGCTCTATAAATCAAAATACAACTACTAATGTTTTATTACCCACCGTTTTTCTTAAAATCAAAGATATCTTCGGGAGATGTCATCTAGTTCGTGCTCTTATCGATTCTGGAAGCATGTCCAATTTCATAACGGACAAACTATCAAAACGTTTATGTTTACCCAGAGATCATGGTTCATCAATTACTATTCAAGGTCTTAACAGTACGAAGTCAATCTGTAACAGAGGTACCGTTAATTGTTATGTCCAACCTTGTGAAGATTCGACACCCTCCTTTGAATTTAAGGCCGTTATAACTCCAAACATTTGTTCCAATCAACCATCATTAAAATTAATAATTGATTCTTATCCTCATTTAAAGAAACTAAATTTCCAACAAGATATTGATTCTAATCTGAAAGAAATAGATTTGCTCTTAGGAGCTGAATTAGTACCACAAATACTTACCAGTGGAAGAGTCCAAGGTAACCTTAATGACCCTATCGCTCTTGATTCTGTTTTCTTATGGATTGTCATGGGACGTACCGAAATGTCGTCGTTTGATTCCTCAAAATCTGTCCTAGTTAATGGCTCTACCACTTGTTTATCCATAATCAATGACTCTTTAGACAATACATTAAAGCGCTTTTGGGAAATTGAAACCCTTCCATCAGCAACTTATTTATCTAAAGTAGAACAACAATGTGAAGTGCATTTCAAAAGGACTCATCATAGAACATCAGATGGTCGTTTCATCGTAGCATTACCTTTTAAGAATCATGAGCCTGTATTAGGTCAATCATAGCACACGGCCCTGAAAAGATTTAACATTCTAGAAACTCGTTTATTAAAGAATCCACAATTGAGAAAGGATTATGTACTATTCATGAAAGATTACCTCCTTACTGGTCACATGTCACCGATTTCTAGTTCTTCGGAACGTCTAGCATTATACTACCTACTACATCATTGTGTTGTTCGCTCCGAAGGCGACTCCACGAAGTTGCGCGTCGTCTTTGATGCTTCTGCAAGTACAACAAACGGTAAATCATTAAATGACACTCTTTTAATTTGTCCCAAATTGCAGAAGGATATAATAAAAATAATACTCACATTCCGATGTTTCAAATATGCATTCAGCTGCGACATTCGACAAATGTATAGGCAAATTCTTATCGCTCCAGAGCATAAAGATTTCCAAAGAATCTTATGGAGATTTTCACCTAAAGATTCTGTACAAGAATACGTCCTAAATACAGTAACATACGGTGTCGCTTCTGCACCATTTTTAGCCCTTAGAACAATATCAGAACTTGCCAATCTTTATCNAGACCACCCCTAGTCCGGTAGGGAGGAACGTAAAAACGTAACCCACCAACCAATTCAGGCGAATTAATGAAGCCATTGCAAAGTTTAAAAATAAACAGTAAATCGTAACACAGCCTCCTCTGTTGCAGTGTCTGAAAACCCAGCACCCTGCACCGCATAAAGTAATCGCAATAAGGTAAATTTGTTTTATAAGATAGGTACCGCAAAAAACGACGTTGAACTGCTTCGATACCGTTAATGTAAACGTGGTACTGGGGATTCCAGACGGTGGAGGCATAGCTAAGTACACTGTTCACGTGCGTTAAATACAGCAATCTGATGCAATTAATATTTGTGAAAGGGCGGCAGGTTCGAATCACGAAACCCAACCTCTTCAGAGCTTTGGAAATAACGGATTCCACATGTAAATTAAACGATAATTTGTTATCAAGAGTAACCCCCAGATTGCTAATATGATCAACCGATTGAATGTCCGCACCTCCCAGATCTCACCGGGTTCCCATTATCTCACCCCATTCGCGATATAATACTGCTCCAATCTTCTTTTGTGAATTGACCAGTTATTTATCGCCGGTGTAAATTGAAAAGCAAACGTGGTCCGCACGTGGTCCATCGGTGGATTTCCTTCAACCATTATATCTTAAATTTCTTCCTTTTATCCTCGTCGCCAGTTGTATTATTCGTGTTTAGGATTTTGTGAATTAAAGTAAAGATTCAAACTTTCCTAACTTAACTCTTTATTACAAGCACGTTGACATGTTACACACCGAGGTGAAGTGATCATTCCTCTTCGACGGTACTCCCATCACACCCACGCATGCGCAATATCGATAACTTTCAATACATTACAATATTCATCGCCAATAGAGTTTCACATATTCAAGACGTGTTACCCGCAGAATCTTGGAGATATGTTCCATCTAACGAAAACCCAGCTGATTGTGCTTCACGGGGTCTTTATCCCGATCAACTTATTTCCTCCGATCTATGGTGGAATGGCCCTAAATGGCTTTCTGATAACATTTCCGCTTGGCTCAGGAGTCATGGCAGCATGGAAGATGAAGAAGAAATTATCAAGGAAAAAAGAGCATTAGTAATCTGCTCGAATGAAATTCAGACACACATTTTTGATATTTTGCTTACCAAATTTTCCTCATTATCAAAAATAAAACGAATCATATCTTATATCCTTCGCTTCATTCAAAGAACCCAGAAAAAAAACGATTTTATTCTTCTGTTGTATCTTCTTTCGAATTACAAGAGTCTCTTCATTTATTAGTAAAGCACGTCCAATCTCAACACTTTTCTGAAGTCCTTTGCTTTCTCACCAAAAACCAATTACTACCAAAACCAATCCGTAAACTCGCTCCCTTCCTAGATCGAGATGGGTTACTCAGGGTGGGTGGTCGGTTACATAATGCGGGTGTGCCATTTGATCAGAAACATCAAGTGTTACTACCGAAAGTGTCGCGTTTAACTCATCTTATAATAGAAGAGACTCACCGTAAATTTTTGCATCCTGGACTTCGTTCGTTATCAGCAATATTGGCTCAACAGTACTGGATTTTGTCTCCTCGAAGTGCCATCTACCATGTTTTATCAAGATGTATCAAATGCTTCCGTGCCAAACCCAGATCGTATAGACCATTCATGGCTGACCTTCCAAAGTTCCGAGTGACTGAACTCAAAGCATTTAATGTTGTTGGAGTAGACTTCGCTGGCCCAATTCTCACCACCATGACAAGAGCCCGCGGATCCCGGTCTGTAAAGTCGTATATATGCGTTTTTGTTTGTGCCAGTACTAAAGCCATCCATATCGAGCTGGTTTCAGATTTATCTACAACTGCATTTATTGCTGCCCTCCGAAGATTTCTTTCCCGTCGAGGTCAATGTTCGATGTTATTCTCCGATCAAGGAACTCCAAGAACTGGCAGATGTTACTGAAACCACATTGGGTATTCATTGGAAATTCAATCCACCAGGTGGGCCCCATTTTAACGGATTGGCTGAGGCTGGAGTTAAGTCCATTAAGACACACCTTACAAGAGTGATTGGTGAACAAACACTTACATTTGAAGAGATGTCAACGATCCTGTCCCAGATCGAAGCTGTCTTGAACTCCAGGCCATTGTGTCCTTTATCGAGTGATCCAAATGACTTACTACCATTAACCCCCGCACATTTTTTGCTTTTAGGTCCTCTTGGTGCACAGATTCCAAGTCCAAATCTTATTGATCGTCCATTAAATCGTTTGGATCGGTGGAATTTACTATAGCGAATGGTTCAGGATTTTTGGGGACGCTGGCGAAATGAATATTTATACACTCTTCAACAACGTCAAAAATGGAATAAGGAGACTCCTCCAATTCAAATCGGAGAATTAGTTGTTATACGTAACGAATTAAAACCTCCATTGCAATGGATTACTGGACGTGTTGTGGAAGTACACCCTGGTAAAGACGGTCGCGTTCGAGTGGTAACCGTCAAAACTCCGAATGGAAAATTTACGCGCCCAGTCAACAAAATATGCATCTTGCCTATGGGCAAGATGCATATTATACACCTAACTTTGTAAAAACTTTATTTGCTTGTTTTATGTTATTTATTGTACCTACTTACCTGTTTCAATTTTATTATGTAAAAACGATTAATTTCAATAATTTTACTTCATTCACTATTTATTGTTAAAAAATACATCTTATTTTTTGGTAGGTGGAAATGTTTGTGTAACGTAAACGAATTAGCGTTCGTGACCTTGCGCACCCCCAATTTGTCTCCCGCGCACCGTTAAATAGGATGCGCATGCGAGAGGGAGAACAATTAGTTACGAGACCGCCGAAGTTCGAGTTTTCGAAAACAATTATATTTTTCAAACCGCGTGTTACAAAACCGACAAAGTGAAATAAACCAGGTAAAACAATTTCATTCCTTTTATTGTCCAAATAATTTGAACCACGCCTCAAACTGTCCCGGCACTTTGCCGCGTGCACAACCTGATTACTCTCCTGTTTACTATCGATAATGCTGTTAACATTCTTTGTTTTACAAACAAAACTAAAATGACCTTTCCAAGAACATTTAAAGCAGGTTTTATTTAATGGAGGACACTCACGAAAATTTTGGTGCCAATTCTTACCACATCGATTACAGATTCTCAATTTTTTCATATCTTCTGTCTTCCCTTCTTGTCGGTCACTCCATTTGCATGATCCTGAGGTCACCGCTTGATATCTTGCACTTCGACGCCAAGGCTGCTTGTTGTCTGTTGTTTGATTGTATTTCTTACCCATGGCTGCTATATCGCCTACTTTTTGTTTCAACACCAATTCGTTGATGCAAGCACTAGTTTGCTCGGCTGCCTGGCAAATTTCAGTAGCTCTTTTTAAGGTTAAGCTTGATTCCCGGAGAAATCGATCTTCTACCCTCTTGTCTCTGGTTGCACAGACTATTCTATCTTTTATCAGCTCTTCTCTTAATGTCCCGAAATCACAGTTGGCTGCAATTTTTCCCAATTCTGATAACAAACCATCAAATGTTTCTCCTTCCATCTGAATTCGCGTATTGAATTTGTGTCTTTCTACACTAATATTAGTTTTCGGAATAAAATATTCATCTAATTTCGTTTTTATTACCTCCGGATCTTGTTCATCTGTTTCATTTAAATCTAAAGTTTCTAAAATACCTGCGGCTTCTTCACCCATACAATGAATCCACACCGATGCTTAAACCGTTTTATCTTTGGTACTACAACCACTTGCGTTTATATAAACGTCCATTGCTTTTCTAAACTTCTTCCAGTTTTGTCCAAGGTCCCCCGTCATCGACATACTTTTCGGTTGTTTTAACGATTCCATTTTTTCTTCTTTTATTCAGATTTCCCTTTTCATTACTGACTGCGCCATGTAATAATACTACTTTTGTATTGTGAACTATTAATTTATTGATTAACAACGTTACAACAAAATGGCTGTTCGCTACTTCGTAGACGCTAGAAGAATGGTGACCGCGTCTTTTCGCGAGTCATCGTATTGGCGTGGTATTGCATAGGCAACTTATATAACAATCTTCTTCAGTAGCAAACAGTCTTCTCCGTGAATATTTTTCCAGAATCGGCATACCACAATCTATCACACTCTTTTCACAATTTTACAAGCTCAGGACTCTCAAACCCGCCATAACAACCATAGGAAATGTCGATAACCTTATTTTAAAATTGTCATTTTGAATTATTTACAGTTTACAGTTTTTGTTATTTTTGAAGACTTTGTGACTTTGTTTTTTTGGGGGGTATATGTAGCGTACTTATATATTAAAAATTATTAGTTTTTTGTAAAAGATCTAGTTTACGTTATTTCAGTTACCATGATTTAATTTATAAGTACGAAGGCTTTCACGGCCGGTGTTAATTAAACTAGAACTAGAACTAACAGTAGCACTATCATGTAGCATCCGAAACGTCAAACATTTTTTCAAAAA